TGAAGGAGAATACCAGTGAGGAAAGGTTAGTCTTGACATTAATGGAATCAACCTTTTTCTTACTCCCTTTTTCCGTTGTAAGAAGGCTGGTTATCTAAGGGAAGCATTTATTATCGTCTCAACCTCGTACATATAGTAATACAATTTTTCTTTCAGACCTTAAGTTGATGCTTTTGTTATTGCTGCTTTCTAACTAACTTCTGTATCATGGTAGAACCCCACGGAACAAGTATTACAGCCAATATAACTCGATCAGGTCAACACGATATGCAGGCCCGACCACCAGGTCGATGTTGAAACTACGACCGGGTACGGACCACTCAGTCTGGATTTAGCAATCTAGAATTCAAACTTCTGTCATTTTTTCATCATATATGTGATATTCATCATGGTCCGGTATTAGTTGAGGTACTACCGAAAACTAGATATCAGTGGACAACTATGGGAATTCGTTACTGGCTGACTTAGATAACCACTGAAAACCAGGAAGTATTGACCAGTTGCTTCAATCTAATATGGGATATTTTATCACTATGCACATCTCTTAAATGCGACTAACTTCGAGAGGATCCTAGGGTCCTGTTGTATTTATTCCTATTGTTTTTATCCGTTTCTCTTATCTGAAAAATCAAAATTTTCAAGAAACCAGAGAAATTAACACTGAAGTCTATTAGTTGAATAGTCTCATTTAATTTCTTTAGTTTATTTCTGTATCGATAATTACCTGTTAAGAGCAAGGCTTTATCTTAAAATTGGTTGAAATACTAAGAGATAAATGTGTCAGTGTGTAATTGTATCAATGTTTGATCATGTGAGCAGTATAACTAACGACATTTCGTTAATAGTTTTTTTTAAAAACCTATTTATTCTGTTTCCTATTTGGTTGTATGGAATGTACTCAGTTTTGATTTAAAATTCCATTTGCTTTGCTTATTCGTCCGCTCTGTTTTTAGAAAACTACTTTCTATATGACTTGCTTCCAATGCACTATATATCCGTTTCTGTATTTAAGACATGGCAAAGCTTTATATAAATAATAGCAATGATGTCCGTGAAGATACATGTACTGTATGGTTAGTCATATTCTTAGCCAAATCCCCTTATTATTCACTTAGACCTTTTTGTGAAGATCGTTCAATTAAAAGACAATGTGTATCATGCAACTGTGTTAGATGGAGAAACAGGGAAATGAACACCAGATAGTTACTCTGTTCAATTATGAGACTGTCTGGCGGTTGAAAGACGTTTTGAATATTCTAGTGGTAAATCATGACAAGCTGAATTCATCCACATCATGAATTAGACATTCATCTCTAATGACCTCAGATAATCTTTGAACTACATAAAAATTGACCAAGGTTGGAAATATGGACCACTGGGTCCCAGTGGTCCCATAGTTGTCCACTGATATCTAGTTTTCGGTAGTACCTCAACTAATACCGGACCATGATGAATATCACATATATGATGAAAAAATGACAGAAGTTTGAATTCTAGATTGCTAAATCCAGACTGAGTGGTCCGTACCCGGTCGTAGTTTCAACATCGACCTGGTGGTCGGGCCTGCATATCGTGTTGACCTGATCGAGTTATATTGGCTGTAATACTTGTTCCGTGGGGTTCTACCATGATACAGAAGTTAGTTAGAAAGCAGCAATACCATGTACCGTGTAAGGGATCGTGGATGCGCGCTGTTGAGGAATCCCGTGCTGGGACGAAACAGGCGTCCAGTGCTTCCAGGTTTCTAATAGTGGCCTGATATTGATCGATTAGTGGTTTTAACCAAAACTTAGCAATCTCCACAACCCCCAGACTGATAATCCTGGTTTGACTGACAATATTGATTATTTGTATGCCAGAATTGCAGTGGTTATTTATTTTGCATGTATGTGCATCAATAATTAAATTATGAGTCTGGATTGTTTAAAACTTAAAAAATAATAGAATAGACTGTTTCATTCAGTTTACATACATATATACATAAACAATGACTGTTAAATATCATAATGATAGGAGAACAAAGACAAATGACCTAGTTATTTGGAATTGTGAACTTTGGCCCAAAAAGACACCTTTATTTTATTAAAGATACAAAGCAAATAAATAACCCATCTACTTGTATTTCTAGTAGAAACTGCTTTTCTTTCTTCCATATTCTTTTAGTGAACTATTAGCTCGATTTAATGGTAGATAATAGAAATTTTTTATGAGATAATGAAACGAGTCAATAATTGTCTTTAGTTTAGTGAAAGTATGTTTGTATTTGGCGGAAGCACGTGTTTTCCTATCTACATAACGAATTAGTAAAATTTATCCATCTCCGAATTACGTTATTTTGCTGAAAGTCATGACCTTTGAAAAAGTCACATTATTTAATAATTTGAGAAAAATATGAACATTGTGAACTATGATATCTCCTATTTCAAAAACGATTCAGGATTAGTTTGAAGGTTTTGACAATTGTAGTGTATAATTATTGAACATTAATTTCCAGGCAAATTTCAACTAAAATAAGTTTGTATTAAAAGTCCTTATGAATCAGACAATTTAGTGAAAATATATTTACAAATTGTGGGAATAACTTCATCACATCAAAGATTAAAAGAAATTGAGAAATGTTGGGGCTTACATATTAATTACTTGTTTATTTGACTATTGTTAGAGATGATGACAATGTAAAAAAAGTACTTTCATCTTTCAGTGCTATTACAAAATAATATTCCAATGAAGATCAAACTAGAAGGCACTAACATTAGATAATTTTATGACTTTAGTTGTTTTTAATATTCTATCCAATCAATGGATTAGAAACAGAAGTATGTCATTATCTGAAACAGAATAAACATCTTTTATCTTCATATAATGAACTGTGATCAAAACTATGTAAATCAACCGAAATTAGCTCTCTACTTCAGCTACGATCTAATTATCACAAACTTTTACTGTCTAGGTATATATCATCTAGGTATATCATTTGAAGTTATTTATTAACATATACTAAATTTGATGCATTTTGTATACTAATACTTTCTATAGTTTATCACTTTCTATTTCATAAGTTTACGTTAAATTCTTGGCAGCAGAATGTACCTCAGTAATCTGTTTATTGTCACGGTGTTCAAGGCCTAGGGATAATGTGTGGTTACTCAAAATGAAATATGTAGGATGGGTTTCAATCTTATACCCTATCAGGTATACAGTAAGTTCGGATTGATCAACTAAGAAGATATCATAGGTTACTATTAATAGGGCTCTTCGCATATTAACAATCATTTCATTTATCCATCAGCATCATCCATGTCACCGATAAAAATTAATTAAAGCCGTAAACATCAGTCTACCAAAGATTTATCTAAAAATATCTACAATGCAGACAAAGAACAACTGGTAATGAAACAATCAATGTTGAGTTTATGATAATGATTCACAGGAATTCTCAACCAAAAAGCCCAGAAAAGTAGGATGAACTTTTGAAATAATCAAATTAGGAGCAGTAATGACTCACAAAAACTGAGTATAATGTTTTGGTATGATGATGGTAAATCTTCCATGTGACTTTAAATACTATCTCTTTATTCTGTTTTATAAATAATGCGGTTAAACTTCGTATTTTGATACATATAAAAGTACTTTTTATAATTATTTTTTGACAATTTGGATGAAATTCAACTTGTTTCAAAAGTTTAATTATCAAGGTAGTTGTTTCTAGTGAAGTCAAATCCAAGTACCAAAAAAACGGCAAGAACTGATTCCTTTTCCTAACGTGTTAACTAGAAGATATTTCATAATGTGCAGTACGGAGGTATTTAACAGTGATTATGATGAACTCCTTATTTGTTATCATAAAATGTTTACCTACTCATAAGTAGCGTAAGCGTTATAACATCATTTTGACAGAAGTAATTGCTTCATAGGACCTCGCCTATAGCATATCCAGAGTTGCTGCCAGTCCCAACTCCGGGTAAAGGAGGAGGGTTGGGGGTGGGGTCAGCAACCTCATCCCTCATAAAAACCACACTAACAAGACACTAAACAGAATAAATAATTAAAACCATTTAAACTCTGCCATCGGAGTCGAAGGAAGAATTATGACAAGATTTACTCAAAGAAGAAGAAACTAATATGGAGGACAACTGTGAAGAGATCAAGGAAGCACTAACTCCATCGTGTCAGAAAGTGATGGGCCGCAACAAGCATTATCATGAGCAATGGATCTCTATCGAGGACAGCAAGTAATAACAGTCAAACAAGAACAGAGTAAGTCAAGGCACAAGCTGAATGCAATGAAGCAACCAAGCAAGAGAAGACGAGCACTAGACCTAACAGTGACAGCTGAAAAGCTGCAAGAACAGGAAAAGTAAAACAGCAACAACAACAACAAACAAACAGGACGAAGAAACTAATAGATATATATAGTAAACCAGAGTGACCAATCGAGGACAAAGAAGGTAAGTCAATCACTGAGATTCAAGAACAGAGGAGGAGGTGGGTGGAACACTTCGAGAAACTGTTGAACAAACCAGCTAAATTGAATCCACCAGACTTTGAGGCATCACACACACGCACACACACCTTCCAATAGATGTCACTCCACAAACGGTGGAAGAAATTAGGATGGGTATCAAACAGGTCATGGGTGGAAAAGCATTAAGACCTGATATTATACCAGATGATGCACTCAAGTCAAATAAGGAAGTAACTGAAAGTGTGCAAGCGTGAGAAATACAGAGACATAACACTTCTGTCAGTGCCAGGATGGGCTCTCAACAGAGTGATGTTGATTCGAATAAAAGATTCCGTAAACGTGCGGATGCAAGATCAACATGGTGGATACAGTAAGGATCGGTCATGAACTGAACAAAACGTGACACTGCGGATCATTGCCGAACAGTCAACTGAATGGAACTCGTCACTACACGTCAAATTACTTGACTATAACAAAGCGTTTGACAATGTGGAAGGGAGAAAATTGAGGAAACTATTTCGACGCTATGGAGTAAATGAGAAGAACATCATCATCATCATCATCATCATCATCATCATCATCATCATCATCATCATCATCATCATCATCATCATCATCATCATCATCATCATCATCATCATCATCATCATCATCATCATCATCATCATCATCATCATCATCATCATCATCATCATCATCATCATCATCATCATCATCATCATCATCATCATCATCATCATCATCATCATCATCATCATCATCATCATCATCATCATCATCATCATCATCATCATCATCATCATCATCATCATCATCATCATCATCATCATCATCATCATCATCATCATCATCATCATCATCATCATCATCATCATCATCATCATCATCATCATCATCATCATCATCATCATCATCATCATCATCATCATCATCATCATCATCATCATCATCATCATCATCATCATCATCATCATCATCATCATCATCATCATCATCATCATCATCATCATCATCATCATCATCATCATCATCATCATCATCATCATCATCATCATCATCATCATCATCATCATCATCATCATCATCATCATCATCATCATCATCATCATCATCATCATCATCATCATCATCATCATCATCATCATCATCATCATCATCATCATCATCATCATCATCATCATCATCATCATCATCATCATCATCATCATCATCATCATCATCATCATCATCATCATCATCATCATCATCATCATCATCATCATCATCATCATCATCATCATCATCATCATCATCATCATCATCATCATCATCATCATCATCATCATCATCATCATCATCATCATCATCATCATCATCATCATCATCATCATCATCATCATCATCATCATCATCATCATCATCATCATCATCATCATCATCATCATCATCATCATCATCATCATCATCATCATCATCATCATCATCATCATCATCATCATCATCATCATCATCATCATCATCATCATCATCATCATCATCATCATCATCATCATCATCATCATCATCATCATCATCATCATCATCATCATCATCATCATCATCATCATCATCATCATCATCATCATCATCATCATCATCATCATCATCATCATCATCATCATCATCATCATCATCATCATCATCATCATCATCATCATCATCATCATCATCATCATCATCATCATCATCATCATCATCATCATCATCATCATCATCATCATCATCATCATCATCATCATCATCATCATCATCATCATCATCATCATCATCATCATCATCATCATCATCATCATCATCATCATCATCATCATCATCATCATCATCATCATCATCATCATCATCATCATCATCATCATCATCATCATCATCATCATCATCATCATCATCATCATCATCATCATCATCATCATCATCATCATCATCATCATCATCATCATCATCATCATCATCATCATCATACGCGATTAGTAATAAGGACTACAGTGCAAAGAGGTATGTGGAGCACAGCTGATAAATGCATTTCAAGTGGGAACTAGAATGAGACTAAGCTGATTACTATTCCCCATTCTCCTCCTTCTGGTGATCGACTGCATTGTGACAGCCTCAAAACTCTAACGGATCACGGAATACAATGGACAGCTCGAAATTAACCAGACGATTCGGAATTCACAAATTACCTGACTCTTCTATCCCATGCACACAAATAAATGCAGATGAAGACAGACAGTGTGGCAACAGTCTCTACATTAGTAGGCATCAACACTCACACTCACACACACACACACAAGGGAGAAAGAAGAAACATCCTCAAATACAATATGGAGAACACCGGGCAACCAAACCACACTTGATGGAGAGACACTGGGAGATATGGAATCTTCCACATATCTGGATAGTGTCATCGATGAATGAGGAGGATCAGACACAGTGGTAGAGGGAAGGGTTGGCAAAGCAAGGACAGCATTCCTACACTCGAAGAACACATGATGCTGAAAACAACTGTCAACCGACATCTGATTCACAATCTCCAATACGAACGTGAAGACAGTTGGTTCTACTGTATGGAGCTGAAACTTCCAGAACTACTACAACCATGATGAAGAATGTACAAGTATTTATAAACAATTGTGCACTCAGGATGCTGAATGTCCGTTGATCGGATAAGATCAACAAAAGCTTACTGTGGGAAAGAACATTGAATAAGACATACATTGTGGATCTCACCAAACTGTATCACGAGCAAGCCCCGACTTGGAATCCTGAAGAGAAGAGGAAAAGCAGAAGGCCGAAGAACACATTACGTTGGAAGATAGAAGCAGATATGTAAAGGATGAGAAGTAACTAAAGAGAGCTGGAAAGGTTTGTCGAAAACAGGGTTGGATGTAGAATGCTGGTGGGCGGCCTATGCTCCTCCGCGATGAGTAATAGGCGTAAGTAAGTTAGTTTTTTTCCTTTAGGACTCTGAACTTGTAATAGACACTAATTATTTTGGAACCTTATTTACGTAGGAGGTGGTCAGTATTTCTTGCCATCATATTTGATGTTCTTACTGCTTTTTCAGAAGTAACTTTTTCTCATAAATAGACTACACAATTATATGGGAAGGAAATCTCACTATAACAAACAAAAATCATATTTATTTTTGTTTCATATTTAGCTACTTATAAAATCATAATTACAATAACTTCACATTAACTGAATTAATTCTGTTTACCGAACAAAGATAATTAAAATAAAAGAAAGTTTTTACGAGGCCATAATTTGAGATGGGACTTAAAATACGAATAATTCATTACAGCTGTACTGAACCTTAAAATGGGAGTCTGAGTAAATACAATTATAAAGGCTTGGTGTGAAAAAGCTGTAGGTAGTGCACAAAGGAACGATGGAAATAACGATAATAATGTTAAATAAATGGTTATACAGGAATCTTCCAAGCTGTACAAGCATTATTTGTTTGACTCTTTTCTTCGCAACTGATGTTGTCCAGAATGATGACCAAAGTTTCACAGTAAAATTAACCAACTCAGAGAAAACGATACTACCAGAAAAAACTATACAAGTTCTTGTTTTTTTCACTCATTTCAAAATACCACTCTGTCTTTTTTATGAGATCAAGACTGAGTTTTACTCAAAAAAAGTGGTGCAAATACTTGCTAATTAAAATTCAGCTGATAGTTTGTAGACTTAATCGCCTATGCATGAGGATGAATGGTTTAGGGTAGAGATCCCTTTCCCTACTATTTTTAAATATTAGATTACTTACATCACTCAAACTACTTACTTTAGAGAAGTAGTTTAATAATTTACCTGTCGTCTATGTGGTAGACTAGCTTTAGTTAAAGATAATTGCTGATACTTTATTCAAACTACTCCACGGCATTCACTAAGAGGCAGTAGTCAGTCAAGGTGTATCTGGATGCTATCTAGTGCAATTTGAATTCCTGTGATCCGATTTCACAGCCATAAACATAAACATTAGATTATCGAGTGATATTATTTTAATTTCTATAATCAATATGATTTGGGTAAATAGATACGAAAGATCTCACTTACCGATAGAAAATGATTCTTTTACGGTTAAAAAGATTAATTCAACAGGAAACAGTTCTTTTACTTCAAATAATCGTTTTATTACTTCCATTAGGTCGTTCACCAGAACTAACAAAACTATATCAAATATTCAAATTTTATTGTACAGAAGACAAATCTATCTACCTATCTATTTTGTTAAGTTGATGACATGATAAAGTTTATTAGAGCCATGTCATATATATATACTGATACATTCAGATTGATGTGATTAACAGAAACTAATATAAACAACGCATTTAGTTAAACAGAACAGATGAAATGAGCTTAGCAGTGGAATCAAGGACACGCGTTTCGTCTCGATTGGGACTCTTCAAGTAGATGTACCTATATCCCTAACCTAATTTGACTTCAAAACCCGAACCCACTACTATTCGTGTTTTTTTTATGTTGGAATGTTTAAAGGCTGCAGCTTAGATATATTTGTCTGTAAAACGTATACTGAGTCTACAGAGATAACTTCATACTTTCTCAAAACGATGAGGAAAGTATTTCTACTCCCACTTCAGCCTGGATGAAAGGAGGATATTGATTCATAGCAGTTCTCTTACAAATACAAAGAAAATACCCTGGGTGATGCTGTTATTCTGAATTATAATTTGAGAAGTATGCTTAACGCGGATTTCTAGACCGTACTTCTGCCTCTTACTCTGTCACAAGACCACTATTATTAAACATGTTTGCGAGCGTCGACACCGATAGCTGGATGACCAATTAGCTGTGTTCTTACTTCGCTAATAAGGAACAGTACATAATCCTTGAAGAAAAATGTTCTATTTTTTAAGTAACTCAAGTTGGTATGACATAGGTAGCTATTTTTTCCCTCTTTTTTTCTGTATGATCCGCTGTCTTCCACAAAGATACTTTTTAAAAGTATAAGATGACCTTACTGTATGTACGTTAATTTATACTTTCTCGAATTCCTTTGAAATAAGCGAGTGATGATCTATTTTTAACGATCTCACATTTGATCCTCCTATATGTCAAACTGTTAACTTCAACGTGACACAAAAGAGCACTTAAATAGTTTGTTGCGATCATAAGAATTTTATTCTATTAGAGATTCCGTAATAAAAACAGTGTCAAAGGACATTTATATAGGTGTTAATTTTTCCTCCTGTTTGTCTTGGTCTTCTCATCTTTGAATGGCATAAAAGAAGGTTTTCTATCTGACTTATTTTAAATAGAGACTACATGCTTTTGTAATTGCTCGACATTTTCTTTTACGATTCATAATTTGTTTATTAACCATTATTTTTCACTCTGTCCGTTATTCTTTCCTGGGCTTTTGTAAAAGATTTTGGTGTGTTACAGGTGTTGAAGCCAGTTAATAATATGTATAGTGAATCTTTTGATGTAGTTATGAATATGGTTGTAGATACACATTTTAAATCTTGGAAACTACTGCCAAGCGTTATTTTATCCATTCACAACGTCAACATCTTTCCCCTCGTATATCTTCAGGTGGAACGAAATGCATATACATTAGAATCCATGCATCGAGGTAGAAGTATAAAGCTCTATAATACCGTATCTAGTACATATATTATGCCACAAATAGGTTTTAAGAGCTGACCTAATCAAAACCTATATTAATGGACATGTTGCCGATTCACAGTTGGATAAATTCGTATCGTCTTGAAAACATTTCATTTAGTTCCAGATAATTTATTTACATATTTGATGCACATATGTATGGATTTATCTATTGTTTCGTTTTTTTTTTGTGTGGAACTTGTTGAGATATTGTATACTGAGAATTTCACATTTCAATGAACATATAGTATTAAATAAAACTATTATTATTACTACTACCAGTAATTAATAACAATAATAATATCACTAACCTTTAAATGAGTAAACAGTGTTCTAAAGTTTAGTGATAATCATTGTTTTATTCCATACTATACCGTAGTTAAAATGCAATATCAGTTTCAACCAAAGAATAGACAGAGATGAATGAACCAACCACTTTAGCATTCTAGTTTTAATTAAGCATTAGTTGATATTAAGACAGGATTGTAGCTCTTTGTATGACTCAGTAATACCATTAATAAGTATAAATAAGAAAAATCTAAGATCAAAAAGCGTTTTTGAATATTTTTACTTCTAAAAGTAAGTAACCTAGATCTTTTGGAAGTCATGTAAATCTTTGATAATGAAATAGTTGTATTGAAGTGAATACAACACGACTAGGTTTTACTCAGTCAATACAATTAAGCTTAAAACTAATTTTTAAAACAAAATTTGATGTATTCAGAATATAATTAGGAGATAAGTGTGTAGTATGAAGTATGAATATCAAACAGTTTATAATAACAATTTCTTTAAATTTTACCAACTATTCCGTGGTTCAAATGCTATAATTTCAAAAAAAATTTATTCGCCTTAAACTTGGCTTGTTATATTTAGAGGTTCAATTCTTAATATACCTCGTATAACTTGAGCACACGAATGCTAGAACCCACCAAGTAGCTAATAAGAAGACAAAAGAAGACTGGAGAAAGTGCTTGTTTGACAAGTCTCAAAATGCACAGAAAATCATGGGTATTTATAGATATTAGCGTTTGTTAAATCAACATTATAATTCAACCGATCCCCAAAGAGGCATATTATGCTACTGACCAATAGTAGCATGCCACATTGATACTCTATGATTAGATGGAACTCTTCAGCTCTTCTAGGGACTCTGGAGACGCTGTCATAGTTCTCGGAAGCCGTTCCAACATGGCTATTCCTTCGAAATATTAATTTAGACGTATAACCGTGGAACCTGATGGAAAGTATAGTCTTCGTCAACATATATGTGTTTTTAATACTATAAAATATAACTGATGAAAATGAATTGGAGGAAAGATTTCAGTATTATTACAAGTTGATTTATATAGACATAAAACTGA